GAGAGGGAGAGAGAGAGAGAGGAGAGAGAGAGAGAGAGAGAGAAGAAAAGAAGGAGTGGAACAAAATTAAAGGTGATTGTGAAGCAAATGGAATTTGGACAATTGAAGCTTATCTCGGTGTCTTTGATAATTCAGACTAATGTAACCCCCCCAACCCCCACCCCACCCCACGACAACCCGATCACTGGTGACATGATGCTGATCTGTTTTTGCTTCTTTTTAGTTCAAGACAGTGGCAGAAGCTCTGGACGTCCTGTGTCCCAATGGCCCCGTGAGAAGCCGCTACCCGCTGACATTCATCCAAGTTAAACAGGTAGGCTTCCACAGGGAACACTGCTTTTCTCCTGGTGTTTCCTTATCACTTCCTGGGCATGCATATTTGAATACTGAGTGCTGGGATTAAAGGTGTGCCTCACCACCGCCCAGCTCCACTTTTCATCTGATTCTTGAGTTAGCAGTAGCTTTTCCTGCTTAGTGTGTGCATGTAGTAGATTGCTTTCTCCTTTTAAGCATCTGTCTGTCTTCCTGCCTGCCTGTCTCTCTATCTGTCCATGATGACCGTTGTCCTCAGAGGATGAGGACAGCACTGACCTGGGCTTCCAGGAGGGGAGGGAAAGCTAAGTGTTCACTGCAGACTTGGTTCGGACAGCCCTTGTAGGTACCCCATGAATGAGTGGGCCCCACTTTTGCAGCCTGCGCACACCATAGTTAAACTGAAAGGTATCATGTGGGTGCATCCTAGACCTAAAACATGGTGGCCCAGGTGCCCCGCCCCGCCCCGCCCCGTTCCAGAGCAGTACACTGCAGGGACCAGAGAACACAGCTCTGAGACCAGCGGCTGCCAGGGGACTGCAGAGTAGCCTCTTACAACATTATTGAAAAGACTGGCAGAGTGTGGGGCCCTCCTCTCCTTAAACCAACTGTGACACAGTTGGTGAAGCAGAACAAGCATAAAATTAGCAACTGGAAACAAATACCAAGCTAAGATTAAATGAGGGTGACCTCCACTGAAAGCTAGGAAGGAAGACGCAGGTGACCTAACACTTCAGAAAATAGGGCTGAGATCCCAACCAAGTGATCAAATGTGACAAGGGGCCAAGTGACCCATGGCATCCATGCCCCCCCACCAGGAGGACTTGTCTCCTCTTCTGTGCCCACATAAAAGGCATTTTAGTGACTCCAACAAGGGAGCATTGGTCTAGGTTCAGTCTGAACTCCTCAAAAACTATCGATGTCAGTCCAGCTGAGGTAGCCACATATGTAATGACAGTGAGAGGCAGACAGACGGCAGGAGGCCAGGCCTCCACAGGAAGATCCAGCCTGGCCTCCACAGGAAGGGCCAGCCTGGCCTCCACAGGAAGATCCAGCCTGGCCTCCACAGGAAGGTCCAGCCTGGCCTCCACAGGAAGGTCCAGCCTGGCTCAAAACAAAAATGAGAAAATACAATAACAAAAATTCTATGAGAAGATAGTGCAACCTTGTCTCAAAACAAAAATGAGAAAATACAATAACAAAAATTCTAATGAGATCATGCATTAGAGACTAGATTTAGAAAGACTTTAAGGGACTGGAGAGATGGTTCGATAATTTAGAGCAGTGGCTGCTCTTCCAGAGGACCCGGGGTTCAATTCCCAGCACCTATATGTCAGCTCACAACTGCCTGTAACTTCAGCGCCAAGGGTTTCAAAGCCTCTGGCCGGCATTCATGAGCACATGCCTGTACATGCACGCGCACGCGCACACACACACATACAAACATGCCGAGCATGGCACGATTACCACATGTAACCAGGCATGGTGGTACATGTATGTACTCTCGTGACTTGGGAGGTGGAAGCAGGGGACAAGAAGCTCAAGATTGTCCTTGGTTACCTAGTAAATTTGAGGGCAGCCTAGATTGCCAGAGTCTTTGTCTCAAAAATCAATATTACTCCTGATTTGGTAGCAATACCTGCCCCCCCCCCCAACTCTCTCTTTCCTCTTTGCTTCATTCAGATACTTTCAGATTGAGTCTTGTTTTGTACCCTAAAGCAGATTCAGCCCAAGAGCCTGGAGAATGTTTTACTGAGCAGACTGAGTGTTTGTCCTGTTTGGGGAGCTTTTCCTGGCTTTAAAAAAATTTTATGTGTATGCATGTTTTGCCTGCTTGACTGTGCGTACATTACCTGCATGCCTGGTTCCTGCAGAGGCCGAAAGAAAGCGTCATATCCCCAGGAGCTGGAGTTAAAGACTGTTGTGAACCCAGGTCCCCTGCAAGAGCAGCAAGTGTTCTGTATTGCTGAGCTATCTATCTCTCCAGACCCTTTTAAAAATTATTACCACATATTTTGTTGTTGTGAATATGTTTGTGTGCCACAGTGCACATATGAAGGTCAGAGGACAACTTGTGGAAATGTGTTCTCTCTTTCCACCATGTGGGTCCCAGGGATTGAACTCAGGTCATCAGGCTCTGGGGCAAGCTCCTTTACCCACTGAGCCATTTCACCAGCTCTTGACTGGTTTTTGAGTTAATAGTAGTGGCCTCTGACATATAGGGTGTGACTTCCCTGGGTCATTCTGGGCAGTGGCTTGGCTTTTGTTTCCCCATGTGGCGGAGAAGAGAGTCCCTGGCTATTCAAATAGTTCCACCAAGATCAAAAAAGTCAGCTCGAATTTGGCAGTGGGTGGGGGAAGGTTTCGTTCCCTACGGTTTTCAGAGCGTCGCTTTCATCCACATCAAGAACAACCAGGTTCTTAGTAGCCAAACTTTGAGAGTAAAACATTTCTCTTGTATCCCTTTTCCAACCAGTATTTTGGGTATGTGCTGTACCGAACAACACTTCCTCAAGAATGCAATGGCTCGATGCCCATCTTCTCCTCACCCTTCAATGGTGTCCGTGACCGGGCTTATGTGGCTGTGGACGGGGTAAGCGTTCTCTTTGAACTATGCATCTCAGCCTTGACGGGGGATGGGGTCACTCTTACTAACGTGGCATTGGATGCTTCTGTCACATCTCCAGTTCAGCCTGTGTCCCTTGGCAGTGACCTTGCTGGCTGATATGGCCCACGTGCTGCAGACTCGGGGCTATTCCCTAACACTCGCACTCTAGGAAGGGCTGGATCTCCTGAGCCCAAGGTCATCTCCTTCCCTGAGTGAGCTCAGCCTGTCATCCAGGCTGCTTTTTAGGGATAGGATCCGTGTCAGCTTGGTACCTGTCACCATACAAAGTGTGTTGAACTGGGTTGGGTGTGAGATGCCATAGTCTAGAGGGTTGTGACTAAGTGCACCAAGGAGTTGATTTCACAGCAACATGTAGACACATTTTTAACATCCTTTCCAACATCTAGTGTGATAGCACACGCCTGCAACCCCAGCTCTCAGAAGGCTGAGGCAGGAGAATTGCAAGACCCAGGCCAGCCTACACCTACAAGATGAAACCCAGGGCCTAAAAAACAAAAACAACCACCAAGATAAGAGAGCCAGAGCCGGGTGAGATAGCTCAGCAGGTAAAGGCACTTGCCCCTGACTGAACCTGATAGTTTGAGTCTGGTCCCTGGGACCCATGTGGTACAGAGCAGAGATCCCTGCAGACTGTCTGATAGCCACATGTGTGCCTCAGCACTTGGGTGTGCACCCACAGCAAATGAATTATAAATGTATTAATAAAAGGTATCTATAGCTGTTCCCCTCATTGAAAGTTACGGGAAAAGCTCATGGGAAGATTTTTCTCAGCAAGGAATTTTTTTTCAGAAAAGTTTTATAGTTTAGAGGGTTTTTTCTTTTTGGTTTTTGTTTTTTGAAACAGGGTCTGGTGCATTCCAGGCTAGCCTCAGACTTGCTTTGTATCCAGGACGAGCCTTGAACTCTGGATCTTCCTGCTTTACCTCCCAAGTATTGGTGATTCCAGGTGTGCACGGCCACATTTGGAGTAGTTTAAAGTAATATTTCCATTCTTGGTGGGGAAGATAGCTTGCCTTGCAAGCATAAGGACCTGGGTACAGCCATACATGCAGGCAAAACACTCATTAACAGAAAATAAAATAATAAGAAGAAAAAAACGAGGTGTGGCAGCATTCGGCTATAACCTCAGTTCGGGGGAAACGGGCAAGATCTTGTGGGAGCCTGGCCAGCCAGCCTAGTCTCTTTGGCAAGTTCCAGGTGAACAGGAGACTTTATCTCCAAAAGGAAGTGGACCATTTCTGAGGAATGACACCTAAAGTTGTCCCTCTGTCTTCTACATGCATATACATATTCATGGGTGCTTTCATGTGAACACTTACACAGTGCATGAGCTTTATTTTATAATCAACAGGTTTAAACTCACTGGTGAAATGTGACACTGTGCTTGTCATTTCCTGGCCTTCATTGGGAGTTGTGTCTTAGTGACTTATGGTCAGTGTGACCAGTCTTAAAGATAACCTCTTAAATTAGGGATGGGATTGGAGACTTAGCTCAGTGGGAGAGTGCTTACCTAGTGAGTCCAAAGCCCTGGGTTCAGTTCTCAGCTCCAGAAAATTAGTTAATTCAGTGATCAATTCAAATAAAAAGTTTGGGATGTGTCCTTGAAAAAATACCTGTTGTTCCCCTCGTTCTGTTACATAATCTCTGTGGTTAATGCATCCTAGCAAGTGAGGTGAGCTGACTCCACCTAACTCCGATTTTATCTGTTACCTGATTTTATCTGTTCCCACCACATGTTTAAAGGCTGTCTCTTTTTTACCTAACTTGGGCTGTGAGATCATGCAGCAGTTCCTTCTCACAAGAACACACCCCTGGAATGTCTTGTCTGTTTCATTCCTTTAAATATGGAAGTGTAGGAGGCATGTCTAAAAGCTTGGCAGGAGAAGCAGAAGTTCCAGAGGGGCGTTGGTTACAAAGGGCAAGGCCAGCCTCGGCTACTCAAGGCCCTCTCTCAAAAAAAAAGCAAATAAACAAGCAAACAAAAAGAAATGAAATGAAGAAGGCCTGCGAGATGGCTCAGTCACCGAGGGGGCTTGCTGCCAAGCCTGATGACCTGAGT